TTACTGGGCTTCACAAATACCATTACTGATGAATGGAGGCTCTTGTCGGGCTTTGCTTTATTCTTTTAGGGGGTAGGGGTTTCAGGCTGAGGGTAGAGAACATGGTGGCCAATGTCCTCTTCTGGCCTCCACAGGCACCAGGTACACATGTAGTACAAAGACATACATGCAAGCAGAGCATCCATACATAAAAAATGAAGATTTTTTTTTAAGTTTAAGATTATGTCAATTAATGATTAATGACTACCTCATCTGTCATTACTATTTGTTCAGTTGCCAGTGGTCAGATCCCAGACATATGGACATATATTTTTAATCTAATCACTTAATATATTTTAAGTTCAGAGTTCAATCTTTCTTTCTATTAGTGCAAGCAAATAGAGGCCACAGAACATGATTTCAGGTCTCAACAAATCCACGAACAAGATTAGCTAAGGAGACTGGGGACAAGATGGTGAGAGATCTGGACAGATACCAATGAGCCACAAAGTTCTAGAGCCATATTTACTTCAGACACAGAAAAGAGCTCATGTGTCTGAGGGACAGCAAACATCCAACTGCAGTGTAAATATGGATCAGCAAAAAAGACTCAACTATGCAAGAAAGAAGCAAGATTGTGGCAGGCCATAGTTAAGACTTTGGATTTTATCCAGGGGTAATGGGACTAGGTTGAAGGAGGCTCTGAATGGGACTACATGAGCTGCAGTGAAGAGAACTGAGTGAGATTCAGACACGCACGGAATGACTGATCTCATGAAGGTATGATGAAGATCTGGACCCTAAGGCATACGGTGGTGAGAAATGGTGGCCCAGCAGCCTCAAAGCACAGTGTGTAGACTTAATTACCAAGAGGGTGAATGAAAGGTATTAAGGAGAAACTTTTACTTGGGTGAAATCCTAGTGGTCAAAGCCAAGCAGCCAGCGTCAAGATCATGAAAGTCCTCACTGACTCACCTTCCCTGAAAAGCAGGAGGAAGACTGCACAGACTGACTTTGCTGACCTACCAAGCCAGTCTCTACAGGCACACACCGCACTCCTCAACTCTGAGATGACTGCTCAGCAGCACTGGGGCCTGCCCAGCAACCACAGATGAGCATTTCTTTACAAGCACAGTGAATTCAGGGCTAAGTTTCTTTCTGGCTTTGGCTTGGCTGTTGTTTTGGGTTTTGAGACTTGGCATTTACTCTATAGTACAGAGAAACCTGCAACTCTCTAGCAGCTCAGTTGACCTCAAAACTTGCAGTGAGTCTTCTGCCTCAGTCTCCCAAGTGCTAGGGCTACAAGCATGAGGAAGGTTTATTTAGTTTTTAGGCACCTTTGTGTAAAATATCTTTCTTTCCTATTTTTGTTTCCCAAATCAACTAGGAAGCTATTAGGACCAATCACCAGGCCAATCTTGTGACCACAGGAAATCACACAGTTCACAGTCTAATTACCATTGATCCTGCTAAAGATAACCATTCCTTGGGTCATCTATCCTCCAATCTTAATCAGTTATCACCTCTGCCTAATTCAGGGTCCCACTGATAGCCTCCATCCTTCCCATGTGCCCCAGAGACTTCACTTCACTTTACATGGGAAACAAGCATCCTCCTTAGTCCCGTTAAGAAACAATGCCTTTCAACACACTCGAGGCATCCCCATAATTAAACCACATGCAATCTGGCCAAACCTTCGAGTCTATCCAAGTCAAGAACAGAAAGAAGCACCGGTTTCTATGTGCTGAACCTGAAGATGGTAAAGCACAATTTTGGTGAACTTGATGATCTCAAAGTCACAAAGATGGATGAGGGCTAAAAACACAGTAGTGCTTGCCTATAATGCACAGAGCCCTGTGCACAGAGGCTCTGCCCGTAATCCTAACATTTGGAGGTGAGGGTACAAGAATCCGAAGTTCAAGGCTAAACACCAAGTTCAAAGCCAACCTGGGATACGTAAGACTTTCACTTAAAAAAAAATGAAATGAAAGAAAAGACAAAAGAAAACAAGGCTAAAAACAATCTATCCAAATGTTAAATACGAGGGAATTCACTCAAAGAACTAATACATATCCATGGGAAGGAAAATGCCAGAAACAAAGGCTGATGTTAAAGACTACTTACAGCCTCCTGAAATCAGCCATGCCACCAAATCAAATATTGTGTTATGAATATCAATCGCTACATAGTTTATTTAATATTACTTATATATGTTGCTGTATACTAATAGAAAAGGAAAGGCTATACAAAAAATACATAAATGCCATTTCTTAAGGGAGAATTATGATCTTTCTTCTTAGTGCTTTTCTTATTTCCCTCTATTTCAAAACATATTTTTTATGTACAGAAAAAGTCCAAAATATGTTACTTTTAAAAGTCAATAATCATAACACACCAAATATCTTGTTCAATAAAATGTACATCAACTTTGACGTTTTATATTCTTGTTCTACAACAACACAATAAATGAACAAACCCACACTGGTTCCAAGTCCTCCAGGTGATCACCTAGAACACAGGTAATTAACAAAAGCCAAAACCCTTAAGACTTCTTTCTATAAACCTACCATTCACTCAATAGTTGAGCAAATAGTTGAACTAGTCTCTCCAATTAGCCATCTCTTTCAAATGTCTAACGGCACTATCCAAAGCAAAAGTTATATAGTAGATGCCAACTACCACACTGATGATATATACTTGCTTTGGACAGCAGTCTTGATGTATAAAACAAAACCAAACACATACTTTTAATGTTCTATATAAAGAGATTTACTCTTTGTTAATTTGCTTTAAGGTATACCTGCATATTGTCTGATTAATGCACCAAACTCATAACAAATGACAGGCTATCAGGAAGATATTCAGTACCCAAATAACCACAGAGAAATCAAGAAGGAAAATTCCTCTCACAGGTTATGTAATGGACCAAAACTCACTTGGAATAAAGACGAGACTCACTTAGAGTAAGTCTGTCTACCTCCGAGATATTCCTCTCCAGAGCCTGTCCCCTCCTTGGGGAAGGTGTGTCAGGGACTGAACATGGGGTTTGACATGTGCTGGACAAGACTGGGCTGTGCCCTGAGCCCGGTTCCCTTTTAAAATCAATGCTTCATCTTTTTAAATTTAGCATGGGAAATAATATTTCCATCATAATTCCATCAGAAAGAATTCCTTAGTAACAAGCTTATATGGGCAGAAAACACTGAAACAGTTCACTAGAGCATTTCTTTGATGTATACTATAGAGCATGAACGTGTAAGTATAACAGTTTATATTCCCAAGAAAATTACTGTTCTGGACTTTTTGTTTTATGTCATAAATGAAAGAAAAGTTGTCTCAAAAATATTTTTAAAGGAACAGTATCAGTAGTAGTCGACCAACAGCAGTAGTAGTTTTGTGACTGAGAAAACAGTAGACTCTCCCGAACTAAGTGAAGTGCAATGCTAGCCAGCTTCCAACTCAACTTTAGACAAGCTGTCTGTCCTCTGGAGCGCTCCAGTCTCTGCAAATGGGTATGCCGAAGCTCTACCCTAACGTGATCTTCTCTGGCCTGCACTGCAAAGCAGGAGATGGTTCTTATGGTTAATAGCTTACACCTAAACTCTGTCTTTCACAAAGCAGAAGTAGGTCCAAGGCAATGGTGCATCAACTGCACCTAACAAATGGCAGCAGGCAGTGAGCTGGAGAAGAGGAAAGGTCAGGGCGAGGACACTCAGAGACACAGTCCTGCTCGGCACTTGTCACATACTGTAGCAGCTGCACTGAGAGGAGCTGCTTCCCAATTCTCTCTCTCTGGTCAGAGCACTAAAGCTGCTACATTGTTGGGCAGAGCTTTTTAAAAAGAGCCTGAAGATTCAGGCCCTAGGCAGGCCTGAGACAAATGAGACAGGCCCGATTCCATCATTTTAAAGTGGTATTTGTATTTAACTTTGTCTACCCTGATTTAAACATTTTTATTCCTCTAGTGTATGTTATCCTAGAGCAGCAACTCATCTAATCGTTAATTAATTGAGAAAAAAAATCAGATTACTCTGATTTAGCAGTGATTATATTAATTTTTGCACAGTGGGAAGTTGTCTTTCCATGCAGAGTAATTAAGCAAAATTCCATATATTTTTAAAGCTTTCTGTACATAACGCCTTCCATTCATCTCGCAATCTTTATTAAAAGTGCGCAGCATGGATTGTTAAACTTAGGCAAGAACACAGATCTCTTCCAACACAGCAGGTTAAAAGGTAGTTACGGGTCCCTGACTCCCACACCACTTAAAGCACCCGATTAACACTGCAGTGACACCCAGGCTCCAAGCAACAAAGGTCAGGGAGTAAAGAGGGCAAGGCAGCAGGGCTCAGACGCTGAGACTCAAAACCACCAGATCTATGCAGCACTCCGAGAATGAAGATCAATGAGAACAGCAGCTCAGCATCTCCCCGGTAAACACAATCCTGCGGACCGTGACGAGGGGCTTCCCACCCCAGCATCTCCTCGGTGCCGGTGGTTGGTACTTGCTTTAGCAAAATTAATAAGCTCAAATCTGCATTATGGGAAGTAAAAAGACAATCTACTGCCCCAGTTCAAATACCGTGGCTGTCATGGTAAAAGTGAAAAGCTGTGCTAAAATCTGGTAAAAGTGAAAAGCTGTGCTAAAATCTGAGAGCAGAGCGGCCGAGTATTTAAGTATCGATAAGGCAGCAGGTTGTCTTTCCTATGAAAACTACTTCTACAGTAACACCAATGCCCTTGTCTGCTCAACAGTGAAGGGCTTAAAAAACCAGCCGAGAAGAGGAGGTAGAGGAAAACTGTGCTGCAAGCCATAAAACTGACAAAATATGAGCAACGTTATGATTTAATGCTGTAATTCTAAGTACCAGAAGCAGTAAGGTTGCTACATATATCTACAACAGCACAATTAATAAGCTAGCTATCCAATCAATGAGGTATTTAGTATTTTCTGAGCTTCATTTCATTCTGTGCATGAAAACCTTATGAAATCAAGCAGTCTGCTAGCTCTGTCTCCTTACCTGTGAGGACAGCTTTTGCTGAAGGATCTGCCAGGTCCAGAGCTGATTTCCCATCAGTGTTCCGAATGTTTGGATCGGCTCCGTGCTGCAGCAGCACTGTGCAGGGAAAGCAGAAACAGTATCTTACCTCGGGGAGACAGAGATTATTTACTGGAAAGTGTCGCCTCGGCATGGTGTAGGCATACACATACATTGCACAATGTTTTCTCTTTCAAGAAAAGAGAGAGGAAAGAAAAGGGAAAGCACTGCAGCACAGGAGCCTCTCTAGAGTCAAGCAAGTTGGCAACTTAAGGTACAGTGTTATCACATGACTTGACATCATAAACATGAACTAGAAGCTTGCCCTGGACGGTCCTGCTCTGCCTCCTCCCGGGGCAGCAGGACGGGAGCTGTGTGCCTGTCACTGACTCGCCGTGAGCTGTGCTGGCTGGGGCTGCCCTGGCTTGACTACCACTGTGGCTGCTTGTTGCTGCTGCTTCACTGCTGCATTTCCCAGCCTGCCCCCTCAGAAGAGTGGTAATCCTGGGCCGGCGGGCTTTTAGTGGCTCACCGCTTACACAGGAAACTCACCATCAACACACTGGCTTGCTTCCAGAAGTTTAACTGACACAGTACTGCATGCAACTCCAGCTCTTGCAGTCACGTTACAAAAAACAACTATCTCCTAGACCATGATCCTCCATCCAATTTTTAGAAATAGAAATTCAATCACTGAAATGCATGTAACAAAGCTATTTCATGAAAAACAACTGCAGAGAATCCTTCAGATTCAGAAGCTCTTATAAAAGGATGGCCCGGGAAATAAAACATGGACATGACATTTTGGTAAGCCATCTCTGCTGTGTTAGAGTAGTGGAGGCCGGAGACTGCAGGCGTGTATCACCTATCTGATATTTAAACATGTAAACTAAGCATCTCTAGTCAAATACCTGAAATCCAAAGAAGGGAGAAAAGTGAATCTTTCCAAGCACATGCATACCACACAAGTAGAAAATTCTGTCTGACCTTGTGATAGATGGGCACTTAAATCTAGACTAAATCACTGCCGGGTTATGTATACATGGTATATGTGAATCACAAATCAACCTCATGGGTAGACTTGGATTCTAGCCTCAAAACATCTCACTTTTATATACGCAAATATTCCAAAGTCCCAGGGAGCAGGGTCTGAACTTTGAAACACTCTGGTCTCAGACATTTCCGATGAGCGATACTTCTATCTTATATAAGATCTTTAGGGTCTGACATGTGGCTCAGCTGGTAACGTGCTTGTTACACAAACATGAGGACCTGACTTCTGATACTCAGCTCCCACGTAAAAAGGTGGGCACAGCAGGCTCCCTGGAGCTGGCTGGTCATAGTCTAGCCAAATCAGTGTACCCCAGGATCAGTGAGAGACTGTCTCAAAACACACAATGGAGAGAGTGACTGAGGCAAACAACAGACCCTCTCTGGCTTCCGTACGCACAGGTACTCTTCATGCATGCAAACACATTCCTAACAAGCCTACATATACATACTGCCCCCAATCATCCCCTCTCCCCCGTTTACAACAGTTCAGTACAAGCTTTGAGCAACTACTGATGATCTTCAAATTTTCATTCGAAGTACTACACTGAAGCCCATGCAGTCTTTGGGACTATTTGGAAGGTGATCTTCACATTACTGAGTCCTGCTGTTCATAAGGCAGTTCTTTCTGTGATGCATAAGCCATCAAATCAATGGCTTTGCTACAATGGAAGCCGACAGAGGGACGCATCCACATCTCTCGCCTTAGATCTGGGGTAATTTCACACTTGCAGTAAGATGCAGAGAGACCTTGCAGACTTTTTACAGTCCTGCTCCTAAGTCCTGGGCTTTTCCTTCAGTTCAGATGTCTACAGCCAATCACAGTCTGAAAACATTAAGTAGAAAGTTTCAGAAAGAAGTAATTGTAACTTTCAAACAACACACCATTCTGAGGACCCTACTCCACCGATTCCAAGAGGTAGACCAGTCCTTTGTCCAGTGTCTTCACCCTGCATGTACCACCTTCCCATGAGTCACTTAATCACCTAAGCTCATCATCCTGGCATAGCATCACAGGGCTGATGCTCAAGTAACCCTTATTTTACTTAGTAATAGCCTCAAAGAGTAAGAGCAATGATGCTGGTAATTCAAATATCTCAAAAGCAGGTTAACATGTTTTCCTTAAGTAAGAAGATCAAAGTTCCCAATTAAAATGAAAAGAAAAACATGTGTTAAGATCTATGGTTGAGGACAGATCTATCACTGAGACTGTGAGGAAGGAGAAAGAAATCAACTCTAGTTACGCTGTTGCACATCTCGGTAAGAAAACCCTAGAGCACACTGAGAATAACTTTCACTACAATGTAGTAATTCTGTCTTATTATCAGATACCAACACTAAACTGTGATGCGTATTGCATTGACTAAACTTCAACACGTACAGATAGTTTATATGGGTAGGAAAGTACAGACACAGGACTCAGTACCACCCGAGGTTTTGGACATCCACTATGATTCCTACCTACCATATGCCCTGTGTACACTGGTGGGGAGGGGACCGCTGTGAATCATTAACTTGAATGCAGCAATAAACAGCATCATTTTTCAGATGTTTCTAAACTGACTCCAGAGTTAAGGAATAAAATAGTCACACAGTATCAAGCTGTTGCTACTGTATCATCCTGATGGCTATTACTGGCAGTCAACTTGAATACATCCAGAATTAACTAAAAATTCAAGCAGCTGGGCACATCTGTGAGGGATTTTTAGTTAACTGGTTCATCTGAGAAAGACCCACCTTACAACCAGATGCTCTGAGGTCAGAACACCTACCCTAAATCTGGTCCAACCTTCACGTGGTAGCCTACATAAAGGGCACAGAAAAGGCTTTCGCTCTCTGCCTGCTTGCCCTGATTCTCACTGGCAAGTTCATATATCCTGCCACTGAGACATTCCTTCACTGGTATTAAAGTCTGCTTCTTTGCGATTCTGACGTAGAGTGAAGACCAGATGAGACAGCCATCCTTGTGGACTGAACAATTCTTGGGACTTTCCGTTGACAGACAGCCCTTGTTGGACTAGGTGGACCACAGCCTGTAAGCCACTCTAATGAGTATTCTGTATAGATATAAATTCCTCTAGACAAGCCTGACTATATAATCAAAGTGAAGAGCTTTTGCAGAAACTGTTTTAAAGTTCTGGATTGGTCTATAAGGCATCTCAATCATAAAGCAGACTCAAGAACCAAAGGAAGGCAGCAAATACTCTGCTTAGTTGTTGAGTGAAAAGAAAAGGCAGAGAAACAAAAGAAACAACTACCATAAAACCACTGGCTTTTATCCGTATTTGGGAATAACACCAGCTCCTCCTTTAAATGGAGGTGAAGACATTTTTTATTTAGCAGAATATGACAATTACATAATGGGAGCTTTGATTCAGCATTTTTTAATAAGTGTTAGAGGCAAAGTATTGAAAGCCTAACTGTTCCTCCAAAGAGGACCTAAGTCCTCAATCCTTCTAACAGTGAGTAGTTTACCTATTATAACTTCCCTGTTTTGCAAGAGAAGGTGGCAGCTTAGCCTCAGTTTTATTCTGGGTTAGGTGGTTTCAAAAGTAGCAACTGCTCTACTTAAACAGTGTGGCTTTTAAGCATTTTGTGCTCACTCCTAGCTCTTTCTTGGACTCAAACACTGGCACATCCAATGCAGAACAATGTCGCAACAGCAAAGACCAGTTGAATTTCTTGAATCAGCTGCTAATAAAATCCATACTAGAAAAGATTTAACCATTAAGTTTATTAAGACACAGGTCACAAAAGAAACTCTATAAAGTTTAGGTACGAAGGTATCTGCAGTTAAAATAACAGGGTCTACATTTGTCTTTCACCCTGCTGAGAGGAGGAAATGGAAAGATAAAGCAGTATGCAGAGAGGCTGAGCCTGAAGTCTGACAATACCCACCGGCCATCAGCCACTTGCAGACCTTTCAGTATGCAAGTTCCTCCAGAAGCTGAACATCAGTCCTACCCCAGACGGCAGCTATCCCACCACTGGGTATCCACCCCAAAGATACCATCCCAGCCACACCCACAGCCGCTTTCACACTTCCCACAGCAGCCGAGCTACGGACACTGGAATGGCCCTCCACAGGGAAATGCAGAAAGAAAATGTGCTTTCCATATACAATGGAGCAGGTTTTGACCATGAAAGTCATCGCTGGTGTTTCACAGTACTCTTGGCAGGGACTTATGTGGGGACTACATTCTGATACTGAAGAATGGCATTAACAGAAGCAAAGGTCGATGATGACGGCTCTTAGGAATGCCAGATAGTACTTTAGAGGTTGTATTTAAAAGTCACCTCTGATGCCCCAAAATGTACTTTCCAAGTTCGGAGCCATCAAAAGTAATTTAACTATCAGCACAAAATATAACTGGGATCCCTGCTGTGTGGTCAGTACAAACACCACAAGCCTCTCAGAGTATGCTAACATAATACAAAAGTAAAACATGCACAATCCAGAAAATAAATTAACAAGTACTGTGGTCATCCATAACTTCCTTTATTTCATTTACTTATCGAGAAATGGTCTCACTATACAGCCCAGCTCTCAAACTCATGATTCTCCTGCCTCAGCCTCACAAGTTCTTTATAACTTCTACTATCTTTAACAAACTGAGATATGATCCAACCTTAAACCACTACATCTTGACTCTTCCCAGTTTTTCTACTGATGGACATCAACCTTATCATCTCCTTTTCAAGTAGGAAAGCTAGAAAAACTACAGCAGCTGATACAATAGATGGTTATAACACAGGCAGGACCAAATTCTCAGAAACATTCCACACAAGCTATGACAAGGACATGTGATTTTCCTACCCAGTTTCTATTTATTTAGCAGAATCTGTTCAGATTCAGAAAACATGACTTTAGCCATGTTCAACACTATTAAATTTAAGTACCCACATCATTCTTACATATTCAAAAGAAAGTTAAACTTAATGCAAAGCTTCAGTGTGCCAGACTCTAGAAGAACATGAAGCTCTTTAGAATATACTCTATTAACCACAGGCATTAATAGACGATTTAA